GTGCTAGATTTTACTTTGGGATTAGGAGAAGCAATATATTGGAGTAAGCTATTTAGTCTCTCCATGGAATGTAGAAGGTCATTTTCCAAATTTGCAGAACCTGGGTGGCATATAGCATTGCCTGCCTTTGCCCCTGATAATCTCATTCCTATCGTATTGCCTATTAGAGTGCCCTGTTAGAATGACCATTGAATTTATGACCCATATACTGGGATTTTTTTTTTTTTTTTGGAGTTGGAGTTTCGCTCTTGTTACCCAGGCTGGAGTGCAATGGCACGATCTCAGCTCACCGCAACTTCCGCCTCCTGGGTTCAGGCAATTCTCCTGCCTCAGCCTCCTGAGTAGCTGGGATTACAGGCATGTGCCACCATGCCCAGCTACTTTTTTGTATTTTTAGTAGAGACGGGGTTTCACCATGTTGACCAGGATGGTCTCGATCTCTTGACCTCGTGATCCACCCGCCTCCCAAAGTGCTGGGATTACAGGCTTGAGCCACCGGGCCTGGTCACTGGGACGTTCTTGAAAGTAAAGTGAAGGATGCACAAAATAATTAAACTTGTATCTATTTGTATTTTTAAATATTCATGAGAAAATTGGCTTATATACTGTAAATTTCAAAAATATATTAAAGCACATTAAAAACTTTTAAAATATTAAACAAACATTTAAAAAATAGCATGAACTGAATTATTCTTAGTACATATTCATATACTTTTATTGGTTCCTTACCTTTATCTGTCTGAAATACCATGTTATTGGTATTTTTATAAAAAGAAAAAACTTTTTAGCAGTTTTATCTTTAATTTTTGTTCCTTAAAATTTTCACCTTTTTCAAAATTACATTTTACGGTTAATATATTTGAAAGTGCTGATATCTTCCATTTAATCTTCTCTGCAGACTGTATTATTTTTAATGGAGAAAATACACTATAAATACACTTGTAAGCTTGCTATTTATTTATTTATTGAGACAGGATCTCGCCTTGTTGCCCAGGCTGTAGTACAGTGATGCAACCATAGCCCACTGCAACCTCAAACTCTTGGGCTCAAGCGATCCTCCCACCTCACCTTCCCAAGTAGCTAGGTCTACAGGTGTATTCCACCATGCCCAGCTAGTTTTTAAAAATTTATATACAGATGAGGTCTCACTGTGTTCCCTAGGCTAGTTTCAAACTCCTGCGCTCAAGTGATCTTCCTACCTCAGCCTCCCAAAGTGTTGGGATTACAGACATGAGCCAGTGTGCCTGGCCAAGCTTGCTATTTTAAAGTTGCAAGTACAAAATGGAGGCTTAATAAACAGTAATGAAAATGATAATAATTTGCAATAAATAAATAAATAAATAAAACACCAAGGTAACCAGTAAACCAGAAGAGGTGCCAGTAAAACAGGTATAAACCAGACCTGTCTTGGGCAGTTACACAAGTGCCTGCAGTGTAATATCTGCATAAGCAAATTCTGTTTATTTGCATCTTTTTTTTTTTTTGAAGATACCAGGGTGCTTTTTTTTTTTTGGCCACAATATTCTATTTCCTCCATATTTTTCAGAACAAATGCATACTATGTATCTTCTATAATGAGAGTAAACCAACAAAACTGTACTTTATCCTTCACTTTAACTGGCTCCTAGCTCTAGATTAGAGATGCTTGACCTGGGATAATAATTAAAACCCAGTTGTATGTTTTCCATGTATTTTGGAAAACATTAGGACCTATGGTAGATCTGGCCTCAACATCTCCACAGTAAATCATTGGTTCTCTTTCCTGGAATTAGAGATTAGTGCATCAAGCTAAGCATAGTGTCCTGTGCTTGTAATCCCAGTTACTTGGGAGTCTGAGGCAGGAGGGTCACTTGAATCCAGGAGTTCAAGATCAGCTCAGGCAAGACTCTGTCTTGATAAAGTTTTGGGCACTCTGGATGAAAGCACGGTGCCCAAAGAAATAGTTGCCTTGCACTTTCTGAAGACAAGCAGTCTTCCATTTCCCATTTGGCTGCCATAATCCACAAAGCTCACCTGTTGGAGTGAATGATGAACATCGAGAATACCTTGCTAAGGAGGCCAAGGCCGGTGAATCACCTGAGGTCAGGAATTTGAGGCCAGATTGATCAGCAAGGTGAAAGCCTGTCTCTACTAAATACAAAAATTAGCTGAGTGTGGTGGCAGGCACCTGTAGTCTGACCCACTTGAGAGGCTGAGACAGAATTGCTTGAACCTGAGAGGCAGAGGTTGCAAGTGAGCCCAGATCATGCCACTGCGCTCCACTCTGAGTGATGGAACAAGACTACATCTCAAAAAAATAAAATAAAATAAAATAAAATAAAAAGGCAGGGCACGGTAGCTCATGCTTCTAATCCCAGCACTTTGGGAGGCCGAGGCGGGTGGATCATGAGGTCAAGAGATTGAGACCATCCTAACCAACGTGGAGAAACCCCGTCTCTACTAAAAATAAAAACATTAGCTGGGCATTTTGGCACACACCTATAGTCCCAACTACTTGGGAGGCTGAGGCAGGAGAATCATGTGAACCTGGGAGGTGGAGGTTGCAGTGAGCCAAGATCACACCACTGTACTTCAGCGTGTCTGTGGAGTGAGACTCCGTTTAAAACAAAAAAACAAAAACCAAAAAACGGCCGGGCACGGTGGCTCAAGCCTGTAATCCCAGCACTTTGGGAGGCCGAGATGGGTGGATCACGAGGTCAAGAGATCAAAACCATACTGGTCAACACGGTGAAACCCCGTCTCTACTAAATATACTAAAAATTAGCTGGGCATGGTGGCGTGTGCCTGTAATCCCAGCTACTCAGGAGGCTGAGGCAGGAGAATTGCTTGAACCCAGGAGGCAGAGGTTGCGGTGAGCCGAGATTGCGCCATTGCACTCCAGCCTGGGTAATGAGTGAAACTCCGCCTCAAAAAAAAAAACAAAAACAAAAAGCAAAAAACAAAAAACGACATAGGACAGTCAAAGTTGAACATCATCTTTCCCCTTTGCTGAGGCACATCAGAAAACACCTTGTACCCGGTGTACAATAGAATTCTCAGTCTCATCCTTGTTAAATGAATTTCCAATGCGTGTTCTTCTTCTCTGGATCCGCTCCAAAAGATTAATTTCATATTGAGCGTAATTGTTAAAGTTGTCCTTGAAAAGGGCTCTTCCCTAGATTCTGTACTCTAGATCTTCTTGATGATAGCTTAATCTCCGCATGGCTTAACAGTCCAGTGTGCTCCAGCTGTTCCAACTCGGGGAGCTGGAGCTCATCTTTGCATTCCTGAATTCTCTCTGCCATGAGGTCCGAACTCTACAACCCATTGAGGAGCTTCTCAACAGCAAACAGAGCTTCCCTCCCCTCACTACTTTGCTTGTTATTGGACCTAAGGTGGTTGCTAGTCAAGTTGCTGTCAGACTTCTGCAGTGAGCCCACATTTCTAAACATAGTGTGAACAGTTCCATTTATAGGAGATGGAAACACTTCAAAGGAGCCTCAAAATGTTACTGGTTTGCAGAAAAAACATACTAAAATATTAAGTTGGGAAAACTTGGGGGAAGGGGTATTAAAGGAAATACATCAGACTGAAGTACTAAGTATTTTGCAGTGAAGAAAAACATAACCAAATCACTAAGTGGAAAGTTTATTTATTTCCATAGGTAGTAGGTACTTTTTTTTTTTTTTTTTTTTTGAGACAAGGTCTTGCTGTGTCGCCCAGGCTAGAGTGTGATGGCACAATCTCGGCTCATTGCAACCTCTACCTCCTGGGCTGAAGCCATCCTTCCACCTCAGCCACCTGAGTAGCTGGGACCACAGATATACATCACCACACCTGGCTGATGTTTCATATTTTTCACCATGTTGCCTAGGCTGGTCTTGAACTCCTGAGTTGAAGCGATCCACCTACCTCGGCCTCCCAAAGTCCTGGAATTACAGACGTGAGCCACTGCTTCCAGCTCTGTACTAGGTATATTTTATGAGACAGACAGTCCGTACACATATATGGCTGGAATATGCAGAAATCCTTGGTTTCACCTTTCCTATAGAACAGTCATGCAGGATCAGCAAATGATTAGCTTTTTGATATATGCCAAACTCTGTGTCTCTAGAGCAGGTGTCCCCAAACTACGAATGTGACCCTCTGAGGCCATTTATCCGGCCCCCTGCCGCACTTCAGGAAGGGGCACCTCTTTCATTGGTGGTCATTGAGAGGAGCACAGTATGTGGCGGCCCTCCAGTGGTCTGAGGGACAGTGAACTGGCCCCCTGTTTAAAAAGTTTGGGGATGCCTGCTCTAGAGCTTCTATTAACCTGCTTGTTGATTAACCTCATATCTGTCCAGGAGAGATGACACAGTAAGGAAATGGTGAAGGTCCTTTCCCACAGTCAGACCCTTTGACCAACCTTGTAAATCAGTGGATGATGTATCCCAGCATGATTTTGAGTATTTTACTGAAGCATCTTAAGAATGCTATATTGCTTTCCTTTAAAAACCTCAGAAAAATATTTTCAGATGCATGTTTAAAAAAAAAAAAATTCTTCCTAGTGGGAAGAGACCACTCCTGCCATGTGGAATGTATATCCCCCCATTTTAATATTGAGTCATATTGTTCTCCTAAACAATATATAGTAAAACAAGTGTGCCTTAAACATATTGTGCTGAAGCAAAATACTCTGGTAAAATAATTTGAAAGCCATTGATGGAAAAACTTTTATTTTGGCACACATTATAATTTTTTTTTGCCTAAAATTCAATTATTAGAAATTCTAAATTCTGTCAAGTGGCTGCCTTAATGAACCTGAATTTTGTTTTATGCTTTCTTCTTTTTTCCTGTTTTTTTTTTTTTTTTTTCTCAACCCGAGGCAAAAGGCATTGAATGCTTCATAAACAAGAAGAGTATGTGATATATGATCACAGAATATATGACACATGGAAATTACATTTGACTTAAGAATTAGATCTAAATAGATGGATATGACTTATTATTTAAAATGCTTTTGTGTTTTCTCTCCATAGCTTTAAGAAAGAGCAGAGATCACTTCTGACTGTACCGAACAGCAAAAATTAAGTGACTTGATACATTGCATATCATGGCACTGCCATTCCGGAAGGACTTAGAAAAGTACAAGGACCTTGATGAAGATGAGCTCCTTGAGAACCTATCAGAAACAGAACTGAAACAACTGGAAACTGTATTGGACGATCTTGACCCAGAGGTAGGTGCTAGCTGACAAAGAGAAATGAAATAAATTTTCAAATTCTTTGAAACTCAGTAGCTGTGTTTGAGCTTTTTCATGACTTTTCTCTGGCACCTTCTACCCTCTCCTCATTTTTATACAAATCCAGTTGCTTTTGCTCCCTCTGCGTTTCCCCATTTCTGCTTCCATATGTTTACTGACATGACTATTCTAAGCTACTCCAGTATCCTTATTTCAAACATCTCCTGAAATTTTTTCTCCTCTAAGAAATTTATCTCCTCTGTGCAGGAATGGGTATTTTTAGTACAGTGCAGCAGATGATTACCTTTTTTATATATGCCAACCTCTGTCTCTTCAGAGCTTCTATGCTAGGTGGCTTTGGTGTAGAATGCCTCTAAAAGGTTCTTCATGACCCTAAACCTAACTGTCACCTTTCTGAAAGATGCTGACCAAATTAAGTAAGTTTCCAGTCATTGGTAGAATAGATCTGAGTAACTTCTTGGCAATACAGCAGTCTACTGTGGAGCAGACCTGAATGTATGTATGTAAGCTTTAACTTGCAAAGTGTGTGCTGTTTGTCTTATAAATTACACAAGGCTAAGATAGACACTCATAACCCTTGACTTGATATTCCCTGATATGTTGGGGAATGGGCAGTGAGGGAAGAGCCTGAAGGTCCTGAAGGTAATGGTTGTTTGCTAGGCTTCTTTTCTTTTCTTTTCTTTCTTTCTTTTTTTTTTTTTTTTGTTGCCCAGGCTGGAGTGCAATCTCAGCTGACCGCAACCTCCCGGTCAAGCGATTCTCCCGCCTCAGCCTCCTGAGTAGCTGGGATTACAGGCATGTGCCACCATGCCCAGCTAATTTTGTATTTTTAGTAGAGACAGGGTTTCTCCCTGTTGATCAAGCTGGTCTCGAACTCCCAACTTCAGGTGATTCGCCCACCTCACCCTCCCATAGTGCTGGGATTACAGGTGAGCCACCATGCCTAGCCTAGGCTTCTTTTCTTTACCACATTTATTTATGCCAAGACATTGATTTTAAGTACTCTCTAAGGACTGAGATGGAGTTTGTTTTATAACATTGTTCTTGTTACTGGATGATGTGTCTATAACATAGATCAAATCCCTTAACCATAGTTACTATTATAAGGAAAAGTTCCCAGTACATCTAAGTGGAGGGGGATTACTCAGGATAACAGTGCTGTTTTTATCACATTACAGCAATATCTTAGGCAGTTCATCTATTAGACATGATTGAATCAATTTTAGAACTGGAAAAAGTGGTTGGGTGTGGTGGCTCATGCCTATAATCGCAGCACTTTGGGAGGCCAAGGTGGGTGGATCACTTGAGGCCAGGAATTCAAGACCAACCTGGTCAGCGTGGTAAAACCCCATCTCTACTAAAAATACAAAAATTGGCTGCGCATGGTGATGCATGCATGTAGTTCTAGCTACTTGGGAGGCTGAGGCATGAGAATTGCTTGAACCAGACAGGTGAAGGTTACAGTGAGCTAAAATTGTACCGCTACACTCCAGCTTGGGCGACATAGCCAGACTCTGTCTTAAAAAAAAAAAAGAAGAACTGGAAAAAGCTTAAGACTATCTAGTCTAGGGTTTCTCAACCTTGACACTATTTAATTTTAAGGTCAGATAATTGTTTGTTGTAGGGAGGGCCATCCTGTGTATTAGAGGGATGTTTACCAGCATCGCTGGCCAGTAGCACACTCCCCCTGTTTTTGTTTGTTTGTTTGTTTGTTTTGTTTTTGAGACGAAGTTTCGCTCTTGTTACCCACGCTGGAGTTCAATGGTGCAATCTCGGCTCACCGCAACCTCTGCCTCCTGGGTTCAGGCAGTTCTCCTGCCTCAGCCTCCTGAGTAGCTTGGATTACAGGCACATGCCACCATGCCCAGCTAATTTTTTGTATTTTTAGTAGAGACGGGGTTTTACCATGTTGACCAGGATGATCTTGATCTCTTGACCTCATGATCCACCCGCCTCCCAAAGTGCTGGGATTACAGGCGTGAGCCACAGCGCCTGGCCCCCTTGTTTTAAAATGTTCCTAGGATGTTGTTTTTATCAGGTTTGGTGATGGATGACAGACACTGAAACTATTGCCTTGAAATAAGAGTTTATTACTTACAGTTCCAAGAGCAGGAGGCACACTGTGCCACGCATGGGCACACGGGGAAGCACGCAGATCGGTCAGGAGGCAAAAGGGGCCGGGAACAAGCATGGCCCAGAGTCTTTATTGTGGTGTTGTGGGAATGAATGGGTGAGGCAGAATAGGCAAATTTGAACAAGTTTAGGACTAGATAGTTTGAATAATTTTAACAGGCTCAGGGCTGTGTGACTAGTCTCTAGTTGTTCATTATCTGGCTTTGGGTCATTTAGGGGTGGGGAAATCCTGGCTTGATAAGAGAGAATTAGATAAAAAAGAGGTGGTTGGGGGAATTGGTTGGTTTGCTGAAAGGTATGCTGGGGGCGGGGGCGGGAGGGTGGTGGGGAATAGTGCTCTCTAGCTAGCCCTGGAAGGACTGGTCTCTCCAGGTATAGAAAGGCCCCTAGATGTCAAAGCATCATAAAACTCAGAAAATAAAACACATGACATTTATTTATTTTTAGAGGCCAGTTCTTACTCTTCCTCAGGCTGAAGTGCAGTGGTGCAATCATAACTCACTGCAGCCTCGAACTCCTGGGCCCAAGCGATCATCCCACCTCAGCCTCCTATGCAGTTAGGACTATAGGGAAGCACCACTATACCCAGCTAATTTCTTTTTTAATTTTTTTATAGAGATCGGGTCTCATTATATTACCCAGGTAGAAAAACATGATTAATACTCTTCCCCCTGAGTTGACAACCAAAAATGTCTCCAGACATTGTCAGATGTCCTCTAGGGGACAAAAACACTCTTGATTGAGAAACATTGATCTAGTTCATGCCCTCTGTTTTACAGATGGAAAACAAATTAGGTAACTTGCCTCAGTTATTAAAATTAGGGAAAGAGCTGGGACTAGATCCCTCACTGCCTGATGGATACCTGACAGTCTAGCAGTCTTTCTGTTAAACCACAGTGAGTCTCCTCCCAACTCATGCACTGTGGTATCAGTTTGAAATCTGATGACTTTTTTTTTTTTTTAATTTATTTATTTTACTTTAGGCGGCCTGCTTCTTGTGTGGGGAGGTTTGAGTTCTAACCTCTGAATGTGTTTTGCAAACTCCGCAACCCCAGTTACAACTCTCCTAACCTCAGTACTGTTAGTTGAGACTAGGAGAACAATGATGTTTATTGACAGCACCCGTTTGTTGGGTGACATGTTTTTGGAAAGCATCCTGGTGAAGAACCAGGTAAGAAAAAGGTCAAGGGTAATAGCTACTTCAGCCAGAGAAAGACCACTGTAACTTACAACATCTCAGGAAGTAGGATGAAGGTGTGTGTGGTACCTTATTATATTTTGGAGGACTATTTTACTGTCCTTCTACTGTATTCAGTGTACTTATTTGCGAGCTCATTGTGTTTTTACTAAAAAATAATAATAATAATAATAATAAATCTATCTCCAGAAGACAGGCAGCCTAGCAAAAGCTTTCCCCCCACAATGCTGGGAATATATTTTACAGCAAAATTACACTGCAAGAGAGAAACGTGTCATTTTTAATGACAATCATATTAAAGAAAACTTTTATCTGATAAGTAATTATGGTCTATTAGCTTTCTTTTTTTTTTTCTTTTTTTTTGAGACGGAGTTTCGCTCTTGTTACCCAGGCTGGAGTGCAATGGCGCGATCTCGGCTCGCCGCAACCTCTGCCTCCTGGGCTCAGGCAATTCTCCTGCCTCAGCCTCCTGAGTAGCTGGGATTACAGGCACGTGCCACCATGCCCAGCTAATTTTTTGTATCTTTAGTAGAGACGGGTTTCACCATGTTGACCAGGATGGTCTCGATCTCTCGACCTCGTGATCCACCCGCCTCAGCCTCCCAAAGTGCTGGGATTACAGGCTTGAGCCACCGCGCCCGGCTAGCTTTCTTGATGAGAATATATTTCTAATGAAACTTGGTTCATGGGTTTATAGTCTCTAAAAACAGTTAGCTGTCATTTAGTTTGTGGTCAGACTGTTTTTGGCTGGGCATAGTGACTTATACCTGTAATCCTAACATTTTGGGAGGCCAAGGAGAGAGATTTGCTTAAGGGCAGGAGTTCCAGACCAGCCTAGGCAACATAGCAAGACCTTGTCTCTACAGAAAATTTTAAAAATTAGCCAGGGGCATGGTGGTGCACACCTGAAATTCCAGCTACTTCAGAGGCCTAAGCAGGAAAATAGCTTGAGCTCAGAAGTTTAGGGTTGTAGTAAGCTATGATCACACCACTGCACTCCAGCCTGAGCAGTAGAGCAAGACCTTGTCTCCTAAAAAAAGAAAAGAAAGAAAGAAAAGACTTTTTACGAACCCAGGATTTCAGCTATCATATTTAAGACTATGTGTCACATGGGCTTGAACAGGCAAGTAGAGCAGTGCAGCTTCCATTACCAACACCATAAAATAGCAATATATACATCTATGTATTATTGATGGAGAAGGAAACTAACTTTTTATTAATTTGGCTTAATGAGAATCTTTTTTTAAAAGCATTCTGAAGTCTTTATTCAGTAAATATTTGGGGACAACTTGTAGATCCTAGGTACTGTGCTAGGCTTAGGAAAAGAAGAATGAGCAAGACAAATACGATTGTTGCCCTCATGATGCAGGCTGGTAGGAATAGGAGCAGTTCGACATTAATCACATAATTATACCATATTACAAGAATCGTAAGTGCTACACACTGTAAGAGCTTATGATGAGAGGTTAAGAAAAGCTTTCCTGGGGGGATAGAGCTGCAGTCTGAAAAATGAGTATCAAAAAGGAATAGGCAGAGCATTCCTGGGAAGGGAGACCACACACATAGAGGCCTGGTGGTAGAAGGAAGTATGTGGCAAGTATAAGGGAGAAAAAAAAGTCCAGTGTGACTGGAATGGAGAGGGACTGTGAGATGAGGCTCTGGTAACAGACTGAGGGGCTGGTGGTGAAGGATAAAAAATACCAGGCAACTGATCCAGTTGGAAAGGTAATGTAATAATCCTAGCAAGCTTGGATCATAGCTTGGACCAAAGTAATAATGTTGGAGCTAAGAAAAAGATGAATGAGTTCTCCAGGAAGTAAAAATGAGTAGGACTTGCAGGTCGATTGGAAATGGATTCTTCATGTGTAGTTCCTGTCTTGATTTTTTTGTTTGAGACAGAGTTTTGCTCTTGTTGCCCATGCTGGAGTACAGTGGTGTGATCTCGGCTCACTGCAATGTCCATCTCCCATGTTCAAGCGATTCTCCTGCCTCAGCCTCCTGAGTAGCTGGGATTACAGGTGCCCACCACCACACCCAGCTAATTTTTGTGTTTTTGGTAGAGATGGGTTTCACCATGTTGACCAGGCTGGTCTCGAACTCCTGACCTCAGGTGATCCACCTGCCTCGGCCTCCCAAAGTTCTGGGATTATAGGCATAAGCCACCACACCCAGACTCCTGTCTTGATTTCTAAGTCTAAAGGCAGAAATTTTATGTTTCTTTTTTATGATTCCATAAACAATTTTGTATTACAAAAACATACTTGGTACAGAGTTAGGAATGGACCTCCTGTGTGTTTCATCTTTATAGTTCAGCTTTCTGTGTAGTAGGTACCATTACATAAAGGGTAACACAGAGGTGAATTTTATGAAAATTATGTATCTCAACAAATGACCACAGTTGAAGTGCTATATTTCCTAGTTATAAATTGAGTATTTTCTGTTAACATTATCCATATAAGATTACCCTTTATAATGAAAAATTGTCTTATACCACTCATGAAATTCAGTGTCCCTGCCATTATGAGGAGACTTTGCAAGGGGACTAGCCCTTTTGTGTGATTTCTCTGGCTGCCTCCCATTTTATATAAAGATATACCCAGAAATATGAGACAAGGCAGTATCACCTCTTTGGCTTTTTACAAGCAAAAGGATGGTGTTCACTTAGTCTAGTCAGCCTTTGTGTTTACCGGGTGTAGTGAAAATTAAGGGACTACAGGAGACAACTTTAATCCATTACCTTCCACCACACCTCCTTCAACTCTGAGTCAGTTCATGAACTCAAAAAGGCTGTATCCTTGTGGAAACCCAGGAATGTAGCTGTTTCTAAGAGTATCCCAGGGGTACCTTGGGGCATGTGAAGCAATGATAGTGATTGTTGCAAGTACACCCTAGTGCTCACATATATATGTATGCAGACACACAACATTTCACATTGTGTTTAAATAGAAGTAAATATTAATCTGATATTCTATGTGGTATATGTGTTTTAATCATGAAAAAGTCTGTACAATGAAATAGAAGTCATAAAGGAATATCATGTGTAAGAGTCATTTTACACTCTTGTAATGGAATTATTCTCTGTACATATATATACACTCAGCAGTTATTAAGCATTAATAAAACTTCTAAAACTTTAAGTTCAGAGATACATGTGCAGGTTTGTTACGTAGGTAAACTTGTATCATGGGGGTTTGTTGTACAAATTATTTCATCACCCAGATAGTAAGCTTAATACCTGTTAGTTATTTATCCTGATCTTCTCCCTCCTCCCAGCCTCCACCCTCTTTTGTGCTCCAGTGTGTGTTCCCCCGTATGTGTCGGTGTGTTCTCATCATTTAGCTCCTACTAATGTAAGTGAGAAGATGAGATATGTGGTTAATAAAACTTTTTTTTATTATCATCCCAGGACACTTAAAAACTAAAGAGTGTTTCTTGCCAGTAGAATTCTTTCTGAAGAAAATGTTCTATTAGAAAATGTAGGCTGGGCGTGGTGGCTCACGCCTGTAATTCCAGCACTTTGAGAGGCTGACACAACCAGATCATCTCAGGTCAGGAGTTCAAGACCAGCTTGGCCAACATGATGAAATCCTGTCTGTACCAAAAATACAAAAATTAGCTGAGTGTGGTGACAGACGCCTGTAACCCCAGCTACTTGGGAGGCTGAGGCATGAGAATCACTTGAACCTGGGAGGCGAAGGTAACAGTGAGCTGAGATTGTGTCACTGTACTCCAGCTTTAGGGTTAGAGGGAGACACTGTGTCCAAGTGAAGGTTGCAGTGAGCTGAGATTGTACCACTGTATTCCAGCTTTGGGGATAGAAGGAGACACTGTCTCCAAAAAAAAGAAAAAGAAAAGAAAATGTACTAATGTATATGCCTATTTTAATAATAATGTAAGTGAATTCTACCTAATAAAAAAGAAGTTTCATGTCTGGAGCACTTGTGCATTTCTGTCCTAAAATTCTGCAACGAAGTGTTCAGTGCCTGTATCACAGTCCAATCTATAATTCTTTTTTATATGGGTGATCTATGGTAGCATATAGCATTAGCATTCTTACTAGTCATACTGGCTGATTCATTCTCTCTGGCAGAATGCCCTTCTGCCTGCAGGGTTCCGGCAGAAGAACCAGACATCGAAGTCCGCCACAGGGCCATTTGATAGAGAGCATCTCCTTTCATATTTGGAGAAAGAAGCATTGGAGCATAAAGACAGAGAAGACTATGTGCCCTACACTGGAGAAAAAAAAGGTAAGCCCAGAATTTTGAAGCCATTATGTGGTAACACTGATTTTTCTTTTTATAGCTAGGTATGGAGAAAATCATATTTTTAGAGTTACGTCATTGGTAGCCTTAAAGATATGATACTGTTGACTTCAGCATTTATTAGTTTAGACACTTTATTTACAGTTTTCATCAAGTTGGCAAATAAGTATCTTTTTTGTTGTTGTTTTTTGGGGTTTTTTTTTTTTTTTTTTTTTTTTTGGTGTTGACAGGCAGGGAGTAAGTTTATTCTTAATGACGTTAGTGAGGTTTTATTACACAATGATTTTGTATAACATTCTTTAATTCTCTACTATAACGGATCTAAAAGTGTACTGAGGGAAACTTTTAAATCCAGTAGTAGATTATAGACTACAAATGATAAGGCATCTATTTTTTTTTTTTTTTGATTCATTCAAATATTTATTGAGCAGCTGAGGAGATACAAAGGATTTAAAACATGGTCAGAGATGAGGCAAATGCACACAAGTAATAGAAAGCAAAAGGCAAGGTTCACTGAATCACAGCAGTCAGAACAAAGTGCTTTAGGGAACCAAGATTGTGAGACTGTTTCCAGCCTGAAGAGGCATTGGTGGCAAATCAGAAAAGGGGATTGAGATTAAAATAGAAGACTTCAGTCTGGATTGTTGATGACACTCAGCATGGACTATATTTGTCTCTCCTTTTCCTTTCTCCCCATCTCTGGGCTTAATTTACCAGTAATGCCCAGGACTGTTCAGTGCGCTTTTTCTATACTTGCTTGCATTTTTGCTTTAATGTCTTCTACAGAACTAGGTTCTTTTGGTGTTTTAGGAGTTTTTTCCTGTTTTTTGAAGGATTCTTGTCCTTTTGATCTTCGCATTGATGATGGTTTTGAGTCTTTTCCATTCTGATTTGACTTTTGTGCATTTTTGGCTGGAGTATCGCATATAGATTTCTTCACTGGCACTTTTTCTTCAGTTTCCTCATCATCGAAATCATCATCATCATCATCTTCATCTTCATAATCATCATCTTCATCAGCAGCAAGTTGTACTTTTTTCTGTGGAACCTTGCTACCACCTCCAGGGGCGCAGACCGCTTTCCAGACATACTTAAGAGTTTCACATCCTCCTCCTCCTCATCTCCTGACTCTGCATCTTCCTCCACAGCTACTAAGTGCCGTCCACTGATATGCACTGGCCCTGAACCACACTTCAATCGTAAGACCACTGGTGGTGTTATTTCAAAGCCCGCAAAGGAAACCATTGGCTGTACAGACATTTTCACAGTTGCCAGTGTTACTTTAATTGGACTGCCCTCGTAATTCATTGCCTCTGCTTCAACAATGTGCAATTCATCCTTTGCACCAGCTCCTAAACTGACCGTTCTTAAAGATAACTCGTGCTCATTTTCATCATTATCCACCTTAAAGTGATAATCTTTGTCGGCCTTTAGTTCACAACCGAAAAGATAGTTCTGGGGCCTCAGGGGGCTCATATCCATGTCCATTGAATCTTCCATCCGGTGGCAACACGCACTTGGGTGGAAGAGAAGGCGGACGGAGATAAACAACGACTGCTCAAAAGAACAGCCACTCAGGACGGACTCACACCTGATAAGGCATCTATTCTTACTGCATTATTTAAAGTGGAATGCCATAAAACAGTTCATGCCATAATTTCAAAGACTTTTTTTTTTTTTTTTTTGAGATGGAATTTCACTGTTGTTACCCAGCCTGGAGTGCAGTTGCACAACCTCGGCTCATTGTAACCTCTGCCTCTTGGATTCAAGTGAGTCTCCTGCCTCAGGCTCCCGAGTAGCTGGGATTATAGCCGTGTACCACCATACCCGGCTAATTTTTTTGTATTTTTAGTAGACATGGGGTTTCACCATGTTGACCAAGCTGGTCTCCAATTCCTGACCTCAGGTGAGGAATCCACCCACCTTGGCCTCCCAAAGTGCTAGGATTACAGGTGTGAGCTGCCGCACCTGGCCCCAAAGATCCTTTTTAAAAGCTGTTCTATAGCCATCCTTATTTATTCATGGTTACAATCACTAATGCTTCATAATCAGTACTTCTGGAAAATTTTTCTAGTCCAAGTCTCCCCCATTGCAGTGTTTGAGCTTAGGTATCCTCAGTGGAGCCTGAGTACAGCTGTGTTTTTAAAAGTTCTATATATAATAATACTTAAAATGAAATAGGGTAAGTTTCTTAGCTTTCCAAACAGGTCAGAATACAGGTTGACCTAAAAAGCCAAATTTTACATTCACTCTTATTTGGAATATTGTGCATAGAGTACTGGGGAATGATAGCAGCAGTAGCAGAGCTGAAGATCAGCTCTTGCAGGCACCATATTTATGTCTGAATTCATACTAATCTAGGCAGGAAGAATGAGACTTGGGCTTTTTATTTGAGAAAGAGACCCTTCTCAATAATTTTGGCCAGAACTATGTCACATGGCTACCCCTTAGCTGCAAGGGAAGCAGGAAAGTTTATTTTAACCCTCCTGCCTCTATAGTAGAGGAAGGCTAGTAAATGGCTATTGAGTAGATAAGCTGTAAACTCTGCGTCTGGCTTTTCCAAAATTATCCATCACCCTAGCCCCTCTGCTCTTTCTTTAGACTTCTCCTCTCCTTCATCTCTTGTTAAGGATCACTGTCTTTGCTACTTGTATTAGTTAGGGTTCTCCAGAGTAACAGAACCAACAGGATGTGAGGGGAGAGAAAGAAGTTTATTTTAAGGAGGCTTTTTTTTTCTTGAGACGGAAGCTTACTCTGTCACCCAGGCTGGAGTGCAGTGGCATAAGGAGGCTTTATAAATTCAAAATCCAGCAGGTTGGAGACCCAGGGAAGATTTGCTGTTCTTATCCAAAGGTAAGGTAATCTAGTGGCCGAATTTCTTCTTACTTTGGGTAGATAAATTTTTGTTCTTTTAAGGCCTTCAGCTGATTAAATGAGGCCCAGCCACGTTATGGTGGTTATTTGGCTTTACTTAGAGTCCACTGATTTAAATGTTAATCTCATCTTAAAAAAAAAACCTTCATGAAAACATTTGGAACAATGTTTGACAACAAAATATCTGGGCACCATGGCCCAGCCAAATTGACACATAAAATTTACCATCACTCTACTGTTAGAGTTGGGAGTGTCGTGTCCCTCAGGTGTTTGGGGCCAGGAAAAGAGTTCAAAACTAATGCAGAGTTTTGAAGTGTGGAGAATCACAAAGACAGGCAGAGGCATCTGTTTCTTTTTGTCACAGAAAAGACTACTGGTTATGTTTTCTCTGTACAGCCATACATATATCAATGTTTATAGCTTTAATCCTACTTAAGTAGGAGAACATACTTTTATGAGAAAAAATATTGGTTGATCACCTTTTATTATTCTGCTTGTTTCAGGTGGACCCTGGGAGTATAATTCATAACAGGAAGGGAGGTAGAAACAAAGGGAGAGATGTGAGAAAAAGAGATATCAGAAAAAACTATGGAATTTGGGGACAAGAAGGAGAAAAAATAAGAGACCCGAAAGAAAGCTACATTCGTCCCAGCTAACTCAGGAGGCTTCCTAATATGCCCTTGTTTCTAATCTCCAGTTACCTAGGAAAATATCTTGGAGGATTAGAGGAAATAGGAAAGAAAGTAGAGAAGAATTATGGAAAATGAGAAAATACAAGATAGAGGTGAAGAATATGGCTGACATTAGGAAAAAGTGCTGTGTCCTCAACTATGGTAGAATATCTTTATCCCTTTATGTATCTTTTAAAATTTTATTTCTTACTTTAGGTTTTAGATGAGTAAGAATAAGTGGAAGTAGTTGAACAAGTAATTTTACATTCACAATTAATGGTTTCTCTTTATAGTACATTCAGTAGTTTTACTGCCTCTTTTAGCTACACATATCTATTAAATACTATTTATGGACAGTTTTTGATACAGTGATTAAGATGACAGCATTTTAAAAAAAATAATGAACTTTTTATTGCTTACGGAAAATGCACAGATCATCTGTGTATAGCTCAATGAATTATAAAATAAACACACCATGTAATTACCACTCAGGTAAAGATAACATCATTGGCCAGGTACAGTGGCTCACACCTATAATCTCAGCACTTTGGGAGGTCAATGTGGGTGGATCACCTGAGGTCAGGAGTTCGAGACCAGCCTGGCCAGCATGGTGAAACCCCATCTCTACCAAAAATAGCTGGGCGTGGTGGTACATGCCTGTAATCCCAGCTACTAAGGAAGTTGAGGCAGAAGAGTTGCTTGAACCCAGGAGGCAGAGGTTGCAGTGAGCTGAGATCATGCTACTGCACTCCAGCCTGGTCGACAGAGCTGAAACTCTGTCTCAAAAAAAAAGGTAACATCAGCACCCACTAAAGTCCCCAACATGCTTCTTCCCACTTTTCCCTTTCTTATTCCCAAAAGTAATCACCAACATAGTGTCTAATACAGTAGATTAGTTCTGCCTGTTTTGAACTTTGTATCAATGGAAACATACAGTCCAGGTATCTGGCATGCCTATGACATAACAGTTTTTGTGAGGACCAAATTAGTTTTATTTTGTTCTGGTTTTTAGAGACGAGGACTCGTTCTGTTGTTGCCAGGCTGGAATGCAGTGGCACTGCAACCTGGGACTCCTGGGCTTAAGCATTCCTTCTACCTTAGCCTCCCAGAGTAGTTGGGACTACAGGCCCATGCCACCGCACCCAGCTGAGAACCACATTTGTTAATGGGTACAGTGAAATCACTGTAAAGGATCATGTGGGAGAGGACTGCCAAACAAGAGATTTTCATTCTCTGTTGTGGAGTAGTGGTCCAAAACCACAGGATGAATTTGTGAGTTTCATTAATCCATCTGATGGAAGCATGTACTATCAGATGAAGTAGAATCAAGACTTATAGGCCATGCCACAGTGCCATAGACCTGAAGGAGGGCAAATTCCTCTTCAGCAAATAAGCAACTTAGGCTGTAAAGCTCTACTTTGAAGTATAGCAAAAGCCACC